CTGAAGAAGGGTCCCGACCTGAAACGTCGACTTTCCTGCTCCTCTGAAGCTGCCTGGCCTGCTGTGTTCCTCCAGTTCCACACTGTGTTATCTCTGACTCCAGCATCTGCAGTTCTTACTATCTCTGCATCCAGTCCAGAGGCAGGGATATTGCCTACTGAAGCACAAGACCTCCTAAAATGGGAGAGGGGGATCATCGATTGAATGCCCTTGTTTTTGGAAGTTGCCCCGCCAGAGGAAATAATTGCTCCACTGTTACCCAGTCGGGAACCAGTTTATGTTTTTGAACACTGTAGTGATTGTGACGAGGTCAGCCAGGTGGACCTCATAGAATGACTTCCCCGACTGGAGCTGTTAACTTGGTCCAATCGGGAGCCCTGACTAATAGATTAAAAACAGGAGTGTTAGAGGTTCTATTCACTGACAGCTGGCTCTGAAGAAGCCAGATCAGTGTCTAAAATTCTCCACGTGTAAATGAAGGATGCCTCAGTCATGACTTACGGAAACCGGTTCCTGTGAAGTTATTTCAAACTCCTCGATCGGATCTTCCTTTTCGGAGGTGAGTTTGTACGAACTATTCTTAAGGATAATTAATAATAACACAAGTAAAGAGCTCTCCGGTAAATTCCTGCCTATTCCTGATAATCTTTCGTGCCCCTGATGGACAACACTGGACTTTTTTATTTCTGTATTTTTCTAATTTTTTTCCTAAGAACTTGTACTAAAGAATATGTACCTAGGCACCTTTATACCTAAGACAGGGCCGTAGGTGGCAACTTGTAAACTTTTCACTGCAATCATTTGAGTACATGTGACAATAAAGTTAATTCAATTCAATGGGTAGTAATTCGTTGCTTTTTTTAAAAAAAAAAAGGTGCTCAGTTATTACCAATGAAGCAGAATGCATTGTGTTATAAATCCGTACTGTACCATAAATGTGGCGGAGACGCTGAATGACTTTAGCTCTGAGGCTGAAGTTTGTGATAAATCTTTCTTTTGGTTTGAATTGTTTTGGCATATTTCCCTGGAGAAAGATATTAAGGTATGTGAAGTGAGCAGCAGGCAAAATTCTCTTATCTGCTTTTGTCTACGATATATTACAAATGGTCAAACTAATCTGCGTAAACTACCACTAAGAATCAACAAATGCAGAACTGCCACAAAAATGATGACTACTCATTCCTGTTTGTGTAAGGGAATAAATGTTGGTTCTAACTAATGCTTGGATGCAATGTAAATTATTGGTGTTTCATGTTTCTGCATTGGCTTTTAGTTGATCAGGGCTGACAGAAAAAATGCCTTTCCACACAAATGCATTCTAGGCAGCCTGCTGCAATGACAAATGGCAAATATTATTACACTACAGGTGCTCCTGTTGCATGGTGAGTAGTATCCCTGCTTCTGAACCGAAGCTCCTGGTTCAAGACACACTCCAGACATGCGCCTTATGTGACCAAAACAAGTTGTTTGTAAACCTTGAAATCTTACCAATATACCCAAAGCAGCTGGTAAGAATGGGAGATATTCCTGGTCAGCCATGCCTGCTGAGAAATAATACCTTTCAATCTATAGCCTCAGACTTCAGACTAGCAACCAGCTCTGGGAAAAATAAGCTATGGAAACAAATCAAGTAGATGCTTTGTTATCCTCGTGCATCCCTGGATGCAGAAAGTGTAGGTGTACACCTTTAAATATTAAAGTAACTTTACATCTGTACATCTCTTGAAGGGGAGATGATGGCTTGGTATGCACAAACCCAGGCTAATGTTCTGGGGATGTAGGTTCAACCCTGTAGTAATTGGAACCAGGGCCAGTTGGATCTCTTGACTATGAGACCTTTGAGCCAGGTGATAACCCCAATCAGGGAGCCCAGGCTGATCAATATAAACAGGAGTTTTAGAAAGTCTCCTCATTCTAGGGACTGGCTCTGAGCTGGTTGGTCAGAGCCCGTGCATTATGCACATGTGAATAAAGGGTGACTCGGTGACAGGATA